TATCCCTCTACCTACCTACTTTTTTTTTTAAAAAAATGCCTGTTCAAAACCTTGGTGCGTCTTATACTCCAGTGCGTCTTATACTTCGAGAAATACGGTAGATGCAAGAAAGCAAGCAAGAAAGAGAGTTGTGGGCGAGCATCGGAGGGTCAGAAGACACACGCGTTTCCAGAGCGCGCTTCTCTGTCCTGAGGTAGGATTGAGTGGGGGGAAGGAAGCAGGGGGAAGGGAAGGAAGCAGGGGGAAGGGAAGGAGAAGCCTGGCTGGCTTTCTTTTGGCATGGGGAAGACCCCATACCCCCTCCATGGCCTTGCAGTCCCTTGCGCAGCACAGCAAAAGCCACTTCACAATGGGGGAGACTGGATACCCTCCTCCTCCTGGAGCCCATTCCCTGCCCCACCCGCCCGACATCTCTCTCTCTCTCCTGGGGCGGACAGCAGATTGTGCATCCAGCACCAACAAACTGGCAAGTAGCTGACTGCCATTTCCCGCCACTCAGGCAGAGAGAGAGAGAGGGAGACAGATTCAGCTCGATTCAGTCCTCGCCAAAGACGCTCACCCATCAGCCAGCTCCCTCTCCCCTTTTTTTTCTTTCTTCCTTTTGGAAATCCAGGCTGGCTAAGGAATGAGCACAACCACAACGGAGGCTTCCCTCCCCCCCTCCTTTCGTGACCCCCTGGCCAGCTGTGGCAGGGCCAGGAGGGTGCACACAAGAGGAGGAGGGGGAGTAGAAGGGAGGCCTCCACCACGGTTGTGCTCATTCCTCAGCCAGCCCAGATTTCCAAAAGAAAAACGGGTAGCAAAAAGGCCCAAGGAGAGCATGCAGGGTTTTCCGAGAGAGTGAGAAGAGACAGAGAGATAGGGAGCAAGAGAGAGAAAGAGATACACACAGAGGGAGGGGAGAAAGAGATGAGGGAGAGAGGGGCATGAGAGGGAGATAGAGAAAGAGAGAGAGATGAGAGGGAGGGAGACAGAAAGAGAAAGATATGAGAAAGAGAAATGAGAGAGGGAGGGATGAGAGGGAGAGGGAGATAGGGTGATAAGGAGCTAGAGAAAAAGAGAAGAGAGGGAGATAGAGGGAGAAAGAAATGAGAGGGAGGGAGATGAGAGGGAGGGAGATGAGAGGGAGAGAACACACACACACATTTCCCATACAAAAGAAAACACGGGGAGCCACAAAAACAGGGTAGGTGTGGCTGGGGGGGGGTCATGTGACTAGGAGTGATGTTGAGTTGGCCACACCCACCCAGGTTTTATGGCTCCCGGTGTTTTGTTTTGTGGGAAACGGGTCCAAATGGCTCTTTAAGTGTTTATGGTTACAAACCCCTGACCTTGGCTATTGAAGATAAGCTTGTTAGCCACAATAACACCTGTTCTAGCGAATTGTTTACAGGAGACAGCAGAGACAGAGAGTGAAACACTGTAACATTTTAAACATTGTAGCTCTTTGAACTGAAAACTAAACAGATAAAGTAAATAGAAGCTGGGAAATAGCAAAGAACTTTCTTTTTTCCTTCTTGTTTGAACTTTTTTTCCCCCTTGGGGTGATATATGAATTTGAGTGGTTGAATTTTAGGGCTTGGTGGGCCTAAGTGGATTACAAATGTATTAAATTTACTAAATCACTCAAGAAAAGGATTAGGGTTTGAAGAACCTGAAGATTAATAAGGAACGTTTTCTTTTTTCCTCGACTTTCCTCTTTTTTGGACTACAATAACAGCAAATTTGAAACTGTTTGAAGACTTTGGTGGTGGTTTGATTTGTGAAAATACTTTTCAGGTGGAAGTTGGTGGGGGGTTGAGGAAATACTAGAAGATTGTTGTTATTGCTGATTATTCTTTAAATGCTTTGAAGATCTTTAGCTTACTCGAAATGACTAGCAGTTCAAATTTAAGCAAAGTAGGGAGAAAAAATATGTCTGCGACCTCCTCCTCCTCAGCAGCAGCAGCAGCAGTTGCATCCAGTCCAGCAAGTCAAAGATTTTTGGATAGCATGTTGCAGCAGGAAAAAATGAACACGATGCAAGCAGAATTGAAATTAATGCTCCAAACATTTTAAGAAGCTACAACAAAACATTTTGAAGACATGAAAGAATGGAAAAGATGGATGATAAAATGGAGAACATTCAACAGACAATAACGAAAAATGAACAAAGGATGTACAAAATAGAAATCAGAACAGAGAAGAAAATGGAAGAGATGGAGGATAGACTTACACAGGAAGACAAAAATCTTGAGAGAACAGTAATTATGTTGGAGATGGATAAAGCTTCCAAAACATCAAGGAAGAAAAAGGGGGAAACCTTGCAGAGATAATGGCAGAATTGTTGGCGGATACCATGGAGAGGGACAAGCAAGAGGTGTTCACTGGTATGGACTAAATATTTAGAGTATACACATGATATGTGTCAAGAAATAAATTACCTAGAGAGGTACATGTGAGATTTACCAAGAAGGCACTAAGAACAGAGATACTTCAAAGAGCAAGAGATAACCCATTGAAATATAAAGGAAGAGAAATAATAGTCCTGAAACAAGTTCCTAGAAGAGTAAGAGACACGGGAAAATGGAATTCTTTTTGAAAGAGAACAGAAAAGAAGAAATTTTATTACAAAATGTATGGGACACTGCTAAGGCATACATTCGGGGACTAGCTATAACAAACACAGGGGAAAAAAACAAGAAAAAGAAACAAAACCAAAAGTCATTAGCAGAAGAACACAAGAGACTAGAATTAGAACTACAGAAAGAACCAAACAAGAGTCTAAAAAATCAAATGGAACTAATAAAACATAAAATAAAATAAAGAAGAATTGGCACAAAAAATAAAAAATGCTAAACAGAACTTTTTTGAAAACGCACATAAACCAGGCAGATGGTTGGCATATAAATTGAAAACAGAGAAAGAGAAGACATTGATACATAGGCTGGTAGATGAGAAAGGAACTTTATACTACCAAAATGAGGATTTAAAAAATCAAGTTGTTGTTGTTGATGATGATGATATTATTATTATTATGAAAAGTTGTATGAGCAAGAAAAAGTTTCAGAAGAGAAAATAAAAGAATATTTTGAAAAAGCAAAACTACCTAAAGCAGTGGTCCCCAACCCCCGGTCCGCGGACCGGTGCCGGGCCGTGGACCGGTGCCGGGCCGTGGACCGGTGCCGGGCCGTGGAGTACCTGGCACCGNTGATAGAATTAGTAGAAAACATATTCTCATGCAGGCAGGTTCTTACTCAATTTAATTTAATTTAGGCATGTTGTGAAAACAGCTCATCAGAAGTTCAAATTCAACCTACTCAAAGCATTTGAATTACATATACAATAGAAATCCTTCATCTTGCAAAACGGGAAGAAGAAAAGGGAAACACAGAAGAATCAAGAGAACTGAAGTAGTACAGGTAGTCCTCGAGTTACGAATGGAATGGAGCCTGCCCATTCCATTTTTAACCTGAGGATTCATGGGAGTGAACCCTCCTTTCACCCACACATTCGCTAATCCAAGTGCACATGAGGTATTTCAAGGTGGGGAAGGCTGGGGGGGGGGGCCTACTAATGGAACAGGCCACCTGCTTAAGACCACCCAAGGCCTCCCCAACCCACTGAAATACCTCATGCTCCCCACAATTGCTTCCCAACCCCCCCCACCCACCTGCTGTGTCACTTAATGTGCAAAGATCTAGCAAGCTGTCTCCTCTCCAGCCTTTCAGCCATGCATGCCCCTTGGCAGCTCCATTATGGCCTGCACAGGCCTTGCCCGTCACTTTGCAGGCCAAAATGGAGGTTTGGGGGGGGGGGGTTGCCCCTCCAATGCTCCTCACCGGACACTTTTGACAGCCAAAATGTAGCTTCGGAGGGGCGGTTGTTTGTAAGGGCGAATAACTGCTGTGGTGCTGCAAGATTCATAGTTTCAGGGCTTGTTCGTAAACACTAGGGCAGCGATGGCAAACCTTTTTATGTCATGCCAATATTGCGCCCGTGCGCTATCGTGCCCACAACCTTTCACCAGACTCTGGGGGCTTTCCTAAAGCCTGGGGAGGGCAAAAATGGCTTCCCCCAGAAACGGATCACTCCTGAACTTCCGGTTGGGCCGTTGGGGCCGTTTTTCATCCTCCCCAGCCTCCGGAGGCTTTCCTGAAGCCTGGGGAGGGCGAAAGCAGCCTCCCCTGGCACTCTGGAAGGGCAAAAAATCAGCTGGCCGGCGTGCACATGCGTGCCGGAGCTGACGGCTGGCGTGTCACCAAATATGCCTCCGCGTGCCACAGATTTGCCATCATGGCACTAGGGGATGCTAACTTCAAACATTTGCTAAGGGAACACTGGTAATCCGGGGATTACTTGTATTTTGTTAACAATGGTTCACATTTAATGCTAAGCGATAATGAAGTTTGGTTTTGTTTAGTATGAAGGTTCCAAGAGTGGATCTTGGGCTTGCCATCAATGGAGTGCAAAAGCTCATTTGAATTTACTGCTTAAATTAAAGAATCATAGTTATCCAGGGTCCCTAGCCCCATTAATTAAAGTATATTAAGCTAAGGTTACCCCTATACTCTTGTATGGAGCAGAGGCTTGGGGTCTATATTCAACTACAGTATTAGAACAAACACAGCCCCAGCATTTGAGATGTATTTTGGGTGTAGATCTAAAAACATCTGCTGCAGTAGTTAGAGCTGAACTGGGAATTCATACAATTGATGCACTGTCTAAAATCAGAGCATATAACTACTGGCACAAAATCAATGAAATGAAGACTGACAACTCCCCAAGTTATGTTTATTAGAGCAGTTAAAATCACAGCAACAAACCTCTTGGATCACTAAACTGACAAATTCTGTAAGAAGCTGTGGCCTTCCTGTCTCTTGCATAACAGGAGAACAAGTTAAAAAAAGAGCTTCCCAAAGAATTAAGGATATAGAAGCACAAAATGATATAGCTATCCTTAGTAAGGTGGGTAACTTGAAATGGCTGAGCAAATATAAACATACTTTTCAAATAGACAGCTATTTAAAATTATAATTGCTAAAACATCTAAAGGGAGATATTTACGCAAGCGAGATTCGAACAGCTTGACACAATGGTCAGATATGGGAGATTCCATTCTATACCCTACAATGAATGTCTCTGCATTTGTGGAGCGGCACAGGTAGAAGACCTGGCTCACATCCTATTTGACTGTTGCCTGTATAAGAGGGTGAGAGACAGGTACCTTGGTCTATATACCAAACAAATGACCCATTGGGATCCCCATATCAAAACAACTTACCTTATGTGCAGCCAGAATCTGAAAATAACATTTAACACAGCACAGTACTTAAGCAAAATGGTTCGGTTGAGATCAGCATATGTGGGACTGATTGGGGTAGATTGTAAGGGTGATACCGAAATATAATTTTATTATATTGTATTTATCTATATATTAAATTGTATTTTATTCCAATTTCATTTTAAATCATATTTTATCCAATTCCATTTTAAATTGTTTTTATCCGATTTTAGTAATAATTTGTGTCTGGAACACTGCACTTTGATATGGCCCAAGGGCTAATCAATAAAGTAAACTGAACTGAGCTTAGTATGAAGTACCAGCCCAGTCACGCCTTGGGTTAAGTAAAACCCAAAGTATTACAACTTATTCAACAAAGCACAGTTCAAATTATGGCTTAATGTTGTGTGAATTAAAAGTACAGTTAATTAGCTTAACAGTCTATTTAGAATGCATCATATAATTGTATTGAATCTGCTGATGTGCACAACTTAACATGAGAGGCTGAACTGCACACAGTATCCCAGTACATTTTTCACAACTTTTAAAAAGACTGGATTTGGACCCAATAGCAGCTATGTTTGATGCTTTTCCACATGCTTACCCAGTCTACGTGGGCGCCATCCCTTCACAGTCCGTCCTCTCTCTACATCCACTAGCACTCGCCTGCCATCAATTTTTTTCCCATCTGCGTGCTTGTATGCCGCTGCAANAGAGCCCCGTGCGCCCCTGCGCGCGCTCAGCGGGCCACGGTAAAATTATCAAAGGCTGACTGGTCCGCGGCGATAAAAAGGTTGGGGACCACTGACCTAAAGTACCAGAAAAAGCAAAAGCTATGTTAAATGAACAAATATCAATGATGGAATTGTCAGAAGCGATTAAGCAACAAGAGCAATAAAACACCAGGACCAGATGGACTGCCAGCAGAATTTTACAAACGTTTACAAGATAATCTAGGCCCATCAATGTTGGACATCTATAATGAAGTATTGATTGATGCGAAGGTACGAAATTCGTGGATGGAAGCAAATATTACTGATTCCAAATGAAGAATCAGATTTAATGCAGATAAAAAACTAAAGGCCCATATCTTTACTGAATACTGACTATAAAATATATGCTTCAATAATGGTAGAGACCAAAAAGGTTTCTAAACGCATTCTAAATACATTCAGACCAAAATGATTAAAAACAATATGAGAATGATTTTAAATACATTGGAATATTATGACGCACATCCTGGAAAACAAATGGTGTTCATCTTCTTAAGACGCGCAGAAAGCTTTTGATAACATAAATTGGCAATTTATGTTGTTACAACTAAAATCTATGGACTTTGGTGAGAGATTCATTAACATGATAAAGGCAATATACCATAAACAAATGGCAAATGTGATGGAAAATGGAGATACGACAAAGAATTTTAATATAAAAAAAGGCACAAGACAAGGATGTCCACTATCTCCTTTACTATTTATATTGACATTGGAAGTGCTATATAGAAATATTAGACAAGATACAGAAATTAAAGGTATGGAAATAAAAAAGGAAAAATATAAATTACAGGACTTTGCAGATGATTTGGTCTTTATCTTGGAAGACCCACAAGAAAATGGACTTAAACTAATTAGGAAAATAGAAGAATATGGTGAAGTTGCAGGACTGAAAATGAAGAAAAAAACAAAATAATAGTTAAAATGTTACAGCCACACAGAAAAAAGAATGAGGAAAATAGGTATACAGATAGACAAGAAAGTTAAATATTTAGGAATTCAACTAAGGGCAAGGTGTGTAACGATTAAAGAAGATAAATCATTATAAATTGGCATAACAAATTAAAACAGATTTGGAGAAGTGGAAAAATCTACAACTATCATTGATGGGAAGAGTAGCCACTATAAAAATGAATATCCTGACAAGATTACTATATTTATTTCAAACAATACCAATAAAACTGGGGGAAAATATTTTGAAGAATGAAATAAAACAATATTAAAATATATTTGGCAAGGGAAAAAAGCAAGGATAAGTTTGAAAATGTTGCAAGAGTCTAAAAATAGAGGTGGTTTGGGGCTACCAGATTGGGAATTGTATTATCAGGCTTACTTGGGTGAAAGAATGGATTGGCTTGAGGAACAAAAGACTATTGACCTTGGAGGGACATGATCTTGAACTAGGTTGGCATGCTTTTTTATGGTATGGAAAAAACAAAATACATAGCTATTTCCAAAGACACTATATTAGGAATGCATTATTATTAGTATGGGAGAAAATTAAAGAACATTATTTGAAGATACCGATCTGGCTTTCCACAATGGAGGCACTGATTTATCCAAATGTTACTGATATAGAGAATGTTACCAGATATAAAGATATTTTAAATGAAAGGGGGGAACTTAAAACTAAACAGGAATTGAGTGATCAAGGGATTGAGTTAACATGGTAGTCATACGTGCAGATACAATCTAGATACGAGAAGGATATTAAAATGTATGGTTTAAATAAATAACGAATTAACAGAATTAGATTGATATTAACAGGGACAGATGAAAAATTAATAAAGAAAATATATAGCTATTTGTTAAGTATCAAGATATCCGGGTCCTCATTTTACCCACCTCGGAAGGATGGAAGGCTGAGTCAACCCTGAGCCGGTGAGATTTGAACAGCCGAACTGCAGAACTGCAATCAGCTGAAGTAGCCTGCAGTGCTGCATTTAACCACTGCGCCACCTCGGCTCAATAAGAGAAATGGATAAGCTAACACTTACAATTAAGGAAAAGAAACTGAATATTTTTTGACTTGGGACTTATTTTATCAATGGCTAGCTGACAAAAACAGGAGCTAGAAACAGGGAAATATATGGAAGGATCAGTGATATAAGGGAGATATGTTAACTTGGTTAAACAAATATGATTATTATCAATATTAATATAATTGATATTAATGCAATATATATAATTGATATTAATGCAATGTATATTATTGTAAGCACTGTGATTATTTCCTAAAATGTACCCAGACAACATTGTTCAATTAAAATTGGTATTTTTGTATGCTATAAAATAAAAACTTATTTAAAAAAGAAAAAGCACCTTTGTCAAAGAATGAAATAAGATTGGTTTGGCAAGATCTGTTTTTAACAAACCCGTGCTGGCTTGTAGTTATAATTTTGTTTCTAGGTGTTTGCAGATCTGTTTTTTATTATATTTTCCAGTATCTTCCCAGGTATTGATGTTAGGCTGCTCTATATTTTCCAGGGTCTGTTTTTTTCCCCCTCCCTTTTTTGAAGATGGGAACCACATCAGCTCTTTTCCAATCCTATTTCTAACTCAAGTAATCTAGAAACTGGAAATGTTTCCATCATATAAGTACAACTTTAACTTTTAAATTCAAGAACAGATTCCATGAACATGTTCACTCAAGCAAGATATCCCTTATACAGTGTACAAATAAACACTACTCATAGATGGTTGCCAAACTTCCATTTAATCTCTGCTGTTTTCCCTTGTTTTTAAAGTAACAGAACTAAAGATATTTGCTTTGTGTGAATAGCAGACAAAATATTCAAACATGTTAACCCAAGTAAGCACTATAGAAATTGTGAAAATGGTGCTATTTCTTTCTGTGGAGTTGCATTTTTAGTAACCTCAAATGATCAGACAAATGCTAAATTAAATGCTATTGTCATATATTTTATGTGTTTTGGAATAATTAGCAACATTTTAATTTTAGTCCTTGTTTTTCCAAAGAACACTAACCCAGTCAGATAGGAACTCTGTTTACAGGAACATTTTGTGGACCTTACATTAGAACCTTGCCACATGATATTCAGATTTATAACATACACAATCCAATTAGAATTTGTGTTTAAGAGGAAACATTTATTTTGGATTAGGCAATATGAAATATACTCTGTTTTCTACCAGTTTCATATGCTACAGAAATATTTTGATTACTTTGAAACATATTCTGCCTATTTCTGTTCCAAGTTTGCCTATTTAAGTCCATAGATTATAAATCTGAATATCATG